GAGGCAGTCCCATGACTCCTTGCCAGGGACCAGCGGGGAGAGGAAGGGTCCTCCACTGCCTACGCCCTCCTTGCGCAGAAGGCTTCCGCGCAGGGAGAGTAGGAGGAGACTGGGCGTCAAAGAGCTTCTTTGCTGGAAGAAGTTTAAGAAACGCCCACTGACGGATTCTGCCAGCGATTGAGACAGCCACAGGTGAGTGGCTGCTCGGACAGGAAAGGTTCACTCAGGCAACCCAGCCAGGTGTTGGGACAAGCTTACGCACGAGCAACCCCTAGAACCATTACAGAATGGGAAATATAAACTGCAGAACTGTGCCAGACAAGAAATTCCAGTGTTAGTTTATGCAAACCTGCCTGGCCAATCTAGTTAGGTGCACAGCCACTGAGAAACAATGGGGAGCCAGACACTGGGCCACTGAAGGCCATTGGCAAGGCAAAATGGTATCCTTCCCCCTGCTCCAAGGAGTGGACAGAGACAGGATATTTGGGAGGTTCCCAAGGTGATGGGGGAGCATGGTGTGACACAGGAAAAAGGTGTCCCTCTTAAAAGAGAGGTTTGGAGAAGGTGCGCAGGCACTTGACAAAGGTTATTGGGAAGGAGAAAGGAGGTGCCAGGAGTGGAGGCAGAGGCCATGCTGGCCTGAGGCACAGAGGTGGCATGCAGGTTGCCTTGGACTCTAGTGCTGCGCTGCTGGGAGGAACGAGTCCCTCTTGAGATGCAATGCTGTGAACTCTCTTCCTCCACCTAGACCTGGGTGTATATAAGTGTAAAATAAACCACACATCTTAAAACACTACAGTCTTTGACGTGCCCAAATTCCCAACAGGAACATGACCCTGGGTGAGCACCTGAGACCCCCCAGGAATTTTGCTTTTGCAAGATTTGGGATGGTGGGTGACCTTCATAGCAATACCTTCCTTGGGCTGACTCCATTGCAGGTTGCCAAAACCACAAAGCTGTTCTGTGACTCAAGGCTTTAGTCACCTGCCCCCCATATTTGGTGCCTCAACCCAAAGGTGGAGCTGCAGGCAAGTTCCTGCCTTAGTTCCTCTGTGCCTCAGTTTCACCAGCTGCAGGGCTTTGACGGCCAGGCTCCAGCCAACCTAGGCCATCCTTTCTCCCAGGACAGGGCTGCCCCTGCCTTTGACACAAGGTCCTCCCAGGTAGGTGCTGCTTGTGGGGCCAGAGATGCTCAGGCCGGCAAGGCTTCTTCACTTTTTGCAGTGCCCACATGACATCACCGGCATCAAAATGTCAGCCTGAATCTCTCCGCCATCTCATTTCATTCAGACTTACCCTTTCTGTAGAAAATCTTATCTAAAAAAACAACGGTTGCCAATTACCCATTTGTAACAGCTGGATTGCCCATGTGGTGATATTATTTAGGCCCCCAGTCTTGGCGAGTCACCCTGCTGTTCAAGCCCCCTAACTGAGCTGAGTCTGCTGAAGAGGGTTGCCCTGGCAGGGGGGAGGAAGGAGACCCCTCCTTCCAGCAGGACTAGCCACACACTTCTTTCTACCCCTTTATCTTCGACTGCTGGAAGCAGCATTGCCACAACTCCTTCATTACCCAGATCAAATCAATCCAGTCCCATTACAGCCTAGTCCCTGGGCTACCATTAGCCAGCCGGGCGAGAGCATCCCCCATTACCTTGCAGATGTGATTAGGGGGGATCTGATAAGGCGCTTGATTCAATGAAGGTGTGTGGTGGGGGGGGGGTGAGGGGAGGCAGCCTTCTGCTTGCTCTCTGCTGTTGATAACTCGTCCTGTCATCCCAGATGAGCTCTTAAAGAGGGAGCAGGCTCTGAGTCGGCTCTGAAATCATGATTGAAGGACTCAAGCGATGATGAGCCACCAAACCTCTTGCACAAAGAGTTTGCAAGTAATGTGATTAGCTGGGCAGGAGGCAAAGGAGCTTTTATTGAAGAAGACAGCAGGGTGACACTGTGCCTGGCAGAGGAACAGGGAAGGCTCCCTCCCTGGTGGGGTGCGGGAAGCCCCACTTCCAGGCAGAGGCTCAGTGCAGGAGCTTGTGGTGGCTGGGTGGGAGAGGGGCTGTTGCCATCTGGGCCGCTATAAGGGGCCCCCTCCTTTATCAAGGTCTTTTTTGCCCCATCAAAATCCCCTCCTCCCCCCAGTAGCTTCTTGTGGCTGACAGAAAACATGGGTAGCCCCCCAGGATGGGACTGGGCAGGACTCCACAGTCCCAACTTGCCCAGGGTTGTTGTGGGGTCAGGGCAAGTGGCAACACCTTCTGACCTGCGGCCACATGACTGCTGGCAGGGCTTCTGTGCTCATGGGCAACTTGGCTTGCCTTGTTCCATACAAAGCAGAGGTTCTGCTCTGAGAGCCAGTGTGGTGTAGCGGTTGAAGTGTTGGATTAAGAGCTGGGAGAGATCAGGGTTCAAATCCCACCACTTGGCCATGATGAAGCCAGCTGGGTTACCTTGGGGGCTGATCAATGCCCCCAAGGAAAATAGGAACACTTGGAGGGTCTGTCACAGGGTTGTTGTAGAGATTAAGTGAGGAGGGGAGCCATGTGTGCCACTTTGAGCTGCTTGGAGAAAAAGATGAAATATAAATGCAATGAAATAGACAAACAAATAGATGATAGATAGATAGATAGATAGATAGATAGATAGATAGGCCCTTGACCTCTAGCTCTCTCTCTTTCTCTCTCCTTCCTTCCCTCCCCTTCAGTTCAACTACTGCATCACACTATTTGGAGACCCAGCTGCTCTTGGCTCAGTTTAAGCATGACCTTCCTTCCTGCAGCATCAGGCCAGGCCAGGGGCTGGAGTCCCCTGCTGTGGGATCTGAGCAGGTGGCAAAGTCTGGTACAGCCAGAGCAGGGGGTGGGGGTTGTCTAGGTATTGGCCTCTGTGGGTCCCTGGCCCCTTTGGATCCAGATCTGAATCACAGAATCATAGAACTTTAGAGTTGGAAGGGAACCTGAGGGCCATCTAGTCCAGCCCCCCTGCAATGCAGGAATCAATATGTGCAAATGAAGCCAGTCACAGGCTGGAACCCCCCCCCCCAAATCTTAATGTGAGCCCCCACTAAGGAGGAAAAGGCCCTTCATTTCTCTGCTTGTCTGTGGCCCCTTCCTTCCCGTTGCAAATGACGCTTGAGGTGGGCAGGGTGGAGGTGCTCCAGGATCACACCACAGGGGAAAATAATGAGAGAAAATCTCCATCCACCCTGATTTCTGATTTCCGAATAATATGATGTTTCTTGCAAGATGTGGTTGAGACCCAGAGACCCCATGTCTGCCATCCCCCCCCTTTGGGGTATGGCATTTCCTTGGCCTTTCTGTTCATGCTCTGCACCCCCTTCAGGACCAGTAAGCCAGGGGGTTGGGGGGCGTTTGCAGGCCCCCTCCTGAGCTCTCTCCAGGTGCAACAGGGGAACTGGTTTCCCCATAAATCTCTCTCAGCAGTGCTTTGATCCATCCTGGAGGGTGAACAAGAGAAGAGGGCTCTCTATAGTGGGGTGGAGGAACACTTTGCTTGGCCCGGGAAACCCCTCCGTCTTCAGCCTGCTTGCAGTCATGGGACCCAGCACCCTTCTGGATCTTCCCAGAGCCCTTTGGGTGCTCTTGGATAATATCGGTTTTGATGAGATAGATATATATTTTAAACATTTATTTTAGATCTTATTATGACTTACATAAAGGTAAAGGTAAAGGGACCCCTGACCATTAGGTCCAGTCGTGGCCGACTCTGGGGTTGCGGCGCTCATCTCGCTTTATTGGCTAAGGGAGCCGGCATACAGCTTCCGGGTCATGTGGCCAACAGGACTAAGCCGCTTCTGGTGAACCAGAGCAGTGCACGGAAATGCCATTTACCTTCCCGCTGGAGCGGTACCTATTTATCTACTTGCATTTTGACGTGCTTTCCAACTGCTAGGTTGGCAGGAGCAGGAACCGAGCAACGGGAGCTCACCCCGTCACGGGGATTCGAACTGCCGACCTTCTGATCGGCAAGTCCTAGGCTCTGTGGTTTATTTTTATTTTTTTTATAATAATATTTATTAAAATTTCAAACAAAATTACAATAATACAAAAAACCCCACAAAAATAAAGAAAGAGAAAATAAAATACACAAAACAGAAAAAATAGAATAACAATTAAAAACAAATCAGTATTTCCATATCTTATCTTTCGTTCACTTGTTTCCCGGACCTCCTCACACCTCCCTTTTTTGCATCCCAAATCAGTTAATTAATTCAGCAAATCCTTTCCCTCTTTGTTCTTATCTTGATCCTTTTTCTTAGTATATTTTTACTTCAAATTCCCATCTATTAACAATCCATTTTTATTAACCCTTAATAACATTGCTGCTAAAACCACTTAACTTCATTCCAACATCATTCTAACATTCATTAATTTTGCGATATTTCTGTAAATAGTCTTTAAATTTCTTCCAATCTTCTTCCACCGACTCTTCTCCCTGGTCTCGGATTCTGCCAGTTCCATATAGTCCATCACTAGGCTCTGTGGTTTAACCCACAGCGCCACCCGTGTCCCGACTATGACTTACATATGACTTAATTTTGTTATGTACATTTTTATAAATTTTTATTTATTGCTGTGACTACTTTTGATATAATTTCATAACCTTTTTCCTTTTTCCCTCTTGCCACCTGGATAACATAAGTCCTCATCCAAAGCTACTATCTTAGGTTAACCAAAAAGTTATGTAGTGCAAGATTTATCTTTGTAAGGATGCAAATCTTCTCATATTGCAAGCTGCCTTCAGCATGGATTCGACCAGGGAAAGGTGTCGTGCAAATAAGCGATGTGGAAGAAGATGGTGGAGAGTGCGACTGAAGGGCAAGGAGGAAGGCAAAGCGACACACACACAGCCAAGTGGGCAGCCCCCTCTTAACACCCACATATTGTGCATTGTGCAGACCCCGGCAGCCTGGAGATGCGCAGGCCAGCGGCCAAGGAAGCATAGTGAGCAACTCAGAAGAAAGACACGTCTGGCCCGAGGGATTTGAGTCAGTCAGACAGGAGACTTTATTTCATTATTTAGCACAGTATATTCTCAGCATCTGCTTCAGAATGTGACAGGCAGCCTTCCGAGAGGGAGAGGCTCCCCTGCCCACAGACGAAGGGCCACAGCCTGTGGTGGACTTGCGCAAGCCGGGCTGAGTGGGGAGGGGTCCAGTCGAGGGGAAAGGCCACTAGCACCCTAGCGGGGGCCTCAGCACATGGATGCTGCCCAGGGAAACCATGAAGCAGGCTGGGTCCCAAGGTGCCAACCTCCCTGGTGCCAGGTGGGCATGGCTCTCCCAGAAGAGACCCGTGGGCCAAATCAAAAGCCCTGGTACGAATCCAGACTGAAATCTGGTTAGCTGGGGGAGGGGTTAGGGCAAGCCCCCCCCCCCCATTGACACAAGGAGGCAATTGTCTTGCATTGTGTCTCTGGGGAGTGAAATGGCAGGCCGGGCCTCAGGCTTGCTCCCCAGAGTTGCTCACGCCCTGGATGGATGAGGCCCTGCTCGGCTCTCCGTCTTCCGTCTCCTCCTCTGCCTGCCTCTCTTTAGCGGCTCACCTGCAGGGAGCCCCCCAACTGAGGAAGGAGGCCTGGGACCCCCAAGAGCCCCATTGAGAAGAGTCTGGCTTCAGCCCCAGATGGTTGAGAATTGAGAATCAAGGAAGAGACCAGCAGGCAGGACTTGGCCTTCCTTCCCCCTGGCTTGGTCTCTAACCCCTAACTGGGAAGCCCCTCCTCTGCCCCCCACATCTCAGGAAACACACCCCACTTCATGAAGCTTTTTAAATCCCTGGGGCCCCCCTCCCCCTCCCCCACAAGCTATTTTTATAATGAAAAACTAACGCTTAGGACAATAAACAAGCTATTTCTTAGCAGCAGCGGCAACAGTTTCTTCCCCCCTCCCAACCCCAACATGTTGTGGAATACATACAGCCCCCCCCCTTTGTCATCCTGGAGTCGAGGGAGGGAAGCGGTTGGGAGGTCCAGTCCCAGGAGACACCAGGCGCTGAGCCATCCTCCTCCTTCTCCCAACACAGAGGGGGAGCTGGTGCCTCCCATGTGCCCATCCTTCAAGCTGGGCATCTTGTTGTCTGTCCAGGAGCAAAAGCCTGAAAGGGGCATCAGCCTCCGGAGGAAAACGCAGCTCTTGGCTTCTGCAGGCATTTTAGGGACCCCCAAAGGAAGAGGCCCTTTTAGTGGATGGGGAACCTGCTGCCTTGCCATTCGCTCCTCTGCCAGGTATAGAGGTGCTGGGGGGGGGAGACACGGGGAGAGCTTTCACCAGCACCATCCAGCAGCCGGCCATGGCAGCGAGGTCTCCAGGGTTCATGGCGTGCAACTCTTGGTGGGCGCTGGGGAGGTGCAGAGAAGCTGGCACCCGACTGCCCACCTCTCCCTCCTTCACGCTCCTCCCGCCCCGCCCCAGCCTTAGCTGAGGACATCCAGGTAGACAGGGGGCGCCTTGACCAGGGTCTGCAGCTGGCTGTGGATGTCCTTCATGCTCTGCCGCTGCTGCGGCTCTCTCTGCCAGCAGCTCTGCATGATGTCGTAGACCTCCGAGGGGCACGTCCGGGGCCTCTCCAGCTCACGCCCCTGGGTGATGCATTCAATAGCCTGGGGTGGGGGGGGGGGAGAAGGGGGAGAGATGGAGGGTGAAACTCAGGCATTTGCCCCTGAGAGAGACATGACTGCCTTCTCTGCTCTGGCTGGGCTCTGCCTCCATTTCTTCCTGTCCAAAATGAAAGGAACTTCTCAGCTTGCTCAGCCAATGCCCACGGATGGGCAAATTAGGACGCCCCACTGAAGGCCGTTGGAACTTCAACTGGGTGCCCAAGTGAGCCTGTTGGGGTGGGTGGGAGATGGGCTGTTAGCTCTCCTAAAAGGCTTCCAGGTTTACCAATATGCTTGAAATCCTCTGGGCCTGAATTAATCTGTGGGTCTTCCTAGCCTGACCTGTGTGCTGTGTTTTGGCTTCCTCAGATTTCAGAGGTGGCTCACAGGGCTGGCAGGGAGGAGACACACATTCCTCCCTCCCTCTTATGGGAGGGGGTGCAGCTGGCATGATTGCTAGACAGTCACAAACAGGGCAATGGCACTACGGAGTTTCAGAACCTGTATAGAGGGGACTCTATGATGTCATAACTGCAAAGCTGCTGGTGGGGAACAGACCATGGTTCCCTATTCTGTACACTTTTTCCTAACTGCATTTTGCTCTCCTCCAAAGACCAATCTTCCTTTTGAACTGGACTATGGATTCAAGGATTATTGTCTGCCTAATTTTTATCACTGTATCTGTTGAATCCTGGCATTTGATGTGAGTAAACTTTGTATTTTTCTTGTTTGCTAAACCACCTGGGAGTGATTTCTTTGTTAAAAGGGAAACATAAAACAGAGAGAAGATAATCCAAGTCTGCCAAAAGCATGCTTGGATATCATAATTGTTCTAGAAAGTTATGCAACCTTGTCCTAATAGCTTCTAGAGATGCTACATACAGATGGCGATTTTTAACTCTGCTGAAATAGATATTTGCATTTGCACACAAGTGAGGGAGGATAATTACTAAATAAAATATCCTCTCCTACTCATCTAAATCCATCCAACACCTCTGTCCTTGAAAAGCATCTTTGAAAAGATGAGGCTAGCTCCACACACACACACACACACACACACACACACACACACAGAGCTCTCTCTGCCTGCATGACTCTTCCTCCGCCCCACCCTTTACCTCCGTGTTGGAGAGTTGGTACCAGGGCTGCTTCCCATAGGTGAAAATCTCCCAGAGGACCACCCCGAAGCTCCAGATGTCACTCTCTGTTGTGAATTTCCGGTACAGGATGCTCTCTGGGGGCATCCAGCGGATGGGCAGCATTGTCCGGCCCCCAACCTGTGCAGGAGGCAAAATGGGCAGAGGGTCAGCAGGAGGGAGAAAATGAAAGGGGGGTGTTGAGGATGAAGAGGAGGAACTGGGACTGTGAGGAAGGCACAAGTGAGCCCCCCACCCCATCCAATCCGTTGTATCTTAGCAGAAGTCTGGAGCAGAAAGCAGGCAGGCCATGATCCGCCAGGTGCAGTCGGTGAGCAATGCCAACTGTCCGCTCTCTTGAAGGGCCAGGCCAAGCCACTGGGCTACCTGAGCAAAGGACAAGATGGCCACCCCCTCCCCTATTCTGCATCCAGAGACTGGCTGGACAGGCAGGTGAGCCTGAGCTCCAGGAATGGTAGCAGCGTAGCATCTTCCGCTGTGCCTGAGGCAGCCGTCTAGCTTGTGGGAGATGGGGCAGGGCAGGCTGTGAGGCACACGTAGCCCCCTTCCGCAGAAGGCAATGGCTGGGGTGGGGGGCGTAAGAGGAGCAGCAGCCAAGGAGGGGTTGCCAGAGCCAGCTGCTTGAGGTAGGTAGTTGTCTCACTCTGCTGAGCCGTTGGGCTGGCTACTTCCAGGCAGGCAGCTCTCTCTGGATAGCCAAAGGAGAGAGATCCCCTCCTAGGTCCACCATGGACCTCGCCTGCGGGAAGAGCCTCCCCACTTCCTTGCAAATGGATGGTGGAGAACCCTCCCTCCCTTGCAGCCAGGAGTCCGTACTGGGCCCGGCCTTTGCGGAGAGGTCCCGTCTCAAACACTCAGTCCCGACTTGGGAGAGTTCCTGTAAGTGCACTTAAGGGGAAGCCTAGTTACTCGGCTTCTCCAGGCATTGGGAAGCCAGGAACTTTCCAGTCTGCTTCCTGCTCAGACTTTCCCCACAACTGCTCTTCTCCCCCCACTCCACCCCACTTTTAATTAACCATTTAATGGCAGCTCCCCTCTCTGCCTGCCAGGCCTCCCATCTTTCCACCGGCTAAGTGCTCCAAGGTTTTTTCCATTGTAGGCCCCATTAAAAATGAATAGGGGTCCAGGGCAGAAGCTAAAAGGGAAAAAGATAATTGGGAGTGGCCCCTTTGGACTCCCAGCATGTCAGGGAGGTGAATCCCTTCAGAGCCCTTGAGGGGAAAGTGGTTAGGAGCCCCTGGGAGCCCCGCAGGAGGGGACCAACTTGAGCCAGCCAGGAAGAAAACCGTGTGTGTGTGTTTCCTGCTGGCGAGCTCTGGCCTTCACTATCTTCGCCAGAGTGGATGAGCCATGACCCCACTGAGGCTGCTGCTGCTGCTGCTGGGGAGACCTCAGGCAGAGAAACAGCCTCTCTGCAGTGGCCTCCTAAGAGAAGAGGGGGTGGAAGGGAGGGATTTGCAGAGTGGGAGCCGAGGATGCAAGTCAGAGGAGGAGGAAGACAAAGCGGCAGGATCTGGAACAGAAGGGCCCCTGCCTGGCAGAGGAGACTCTGGCAAAGGCTGCAGAGGGAGGGTGCCTGGCCCTCAGAGACAGTTTCCCTTCCGCACTTACCCGGTAGTAGTCGGTGCTGTAGATGTCCCTGGACATGCCAAAGTCCCCAATCTTCACCACCAGGTTGTGGCCCACCAGGCAGTTCCGCGTTGCCAGGTCCCGGTGGACAAAGTGCAGGGAGGCCAAGTAGACCATCCCGGAGGCGATCTGAGTGGCCACCTGCAGCATCTGGCCAAGGTTCAGCTGGCCAAAGGACTGTCCGTTCCCATTGTCCAGGATCTTGGCATCAGGTCCATGGGACCTGCAGGGAAGGAGGGTCAAATGCCAAGGCAGTGGATCACACCCACACCCACACTGGGTAGAACCTTAGTGGCTGCTTGGACATGGGGCATGCACAGAGTTCATTCCTCAATGCAGATTTGGTTGTACAGCACTAAAAGTGAACCTCAGTTTAGTTTCCTGGCTTGTGGGCTACATGTCTGAAGTGACCAAAGGCCGCCAGGTGAAGTTGCCAGCATTTCCGTTAAGTGCCTTACTCTCCAGCATGTGGCTGCACCTGCTGCCTGTGCAAATGGGCCCTTGGTGACCCTGGAGAGAATGGGAGGTGGGCAAGAGGGTGGCAAATGGGTCCCCCTGTGCGCCAGGAGGGTCACGCTCACCCTGGAGAGGAGGAGACCAGACCAAAAGGGGCCCCTCTCCCAGCTCCTTGTTTCCCAGCCACTAGCCAGCCAGGAGCCCCCCCCCCCGGGAAGCCCACCAGGGGGCGGGCATGAAGGTGGAGGGCAGGGCTCCCCTAAAGAGGGTTGATCCCCGCGCCCCAAGGTGGTCTTGCCCTTTCCTCACTTGACGCTAAGCCTGGCAGACAATGGCAGGTGAAGTGGCTGCGGCGAGAAGCCCAGGTCTCCCGTAAAGCACAGCCATTAATGCCAAGTCTCATAACCATAAGCGCCCCATCCGTGCGTCTCTGAGCCTGTCCTGGGGATGCTAATCGGGGCCGTTGGCAGCTCCTGTCTATTGGCAATACCTGGGGGGCCAATCGAAAGAGACTCTGCTTATTCCAGCTGATGGCCAATCCCCCTCAATTTGAGCCTCTCAGACAGCTAATCTAATCAATATTGCAAGGGAAGATTGCATTAGCTGGGGGAGGGGGACGTCTAAGCTGCTGCTGCAGTAATGGAGTGGGGGAGGGGGAGCGGGAGGCGGCATTCGGGGAGGTGGGGGTGGCTCTGAGAAGAGGATCAGGCTGGGACATTTCAGTGCAACAACAACCACAAGAAAAGGAAGAGGGAAGGAAAGTCTCTTTTGCAGGGGCGTCTGGGAGGAGAGGCACCTCTGCCCAGTCCAGGTGCACACCAAGCAGGTGCCAGTCTCTGTGCAAGGCGCACCTGAAGCAAAGGTGGCAAAGCTGGACTGCGTGTCCAGCATCCTTGGGGCAGCTGCTGCAAAGCTCAGGCAACTGTCCACATCGCGCAAGCTTCTGGCTCACCAGCTTGGGGGGGGGTCTGTGGGTTATTTAAGCTCTTGGCTCATCCACGGACACTTGATCCTGGACTGTGAGGGAGCGTGCGCACTTGTGCAAGAGAGAGACACTGGGTTGTTGCTGCTGGGGACAGCCCAAGACATTTTGGCACCTGAGGCAAACCACCGAATGGCATCTCCCTCCATGCCAGGGAAGAAGGAGTGCGGGAATATCTACATCAGGAACAATGGATGGGGCAATAAAGATCCACATTGGGATCTGGTGCCCCTGTGGATCCTGCTGCCCTCATCTCATGGGTGGACCAGCCCTGGTTGCCTCCAGAGTCCTACACTGAGCAAACACATTGAAATCAGTGGCTGCGGATAACTTCAGCCTGTTGATTTCTAGGCCTGCAGTGAGCAGGACTTGGCTGGATACGATCCTGTGTGCTGGCATCTAATGCCCATGCCTGGGGTGTATTGCAGCCCAGGCGCCTGGCAGCTTCTCTCCCTCCCTCAGCCTAAGGCTCCTTTTGTGCTGAACCAAGAGAGAGGGGCAGAAAGAGCTGGCATGTCCAGGACACTCTGGCCTGTGTGGGCCGAAGGACTGCTACGGGATGCTGAAAAATGGCCAGGTCTCAAAAAGGGCACCAATATATCACCCTATTACACTTGTGCTTGGCCATTTGCACTGCATTCCAGCCTATTTCTGGGCCCATCTCAAAATGTTGGTGCCTCCATAGACCTGCCTGGTCCATAAGACCATCTGCAGAGACACGTCCCCCATGAGGGGAGGCAGGGGGATCCTGTAGGGAGTGCCTACTCGGTGGTGGTGCCAGTTATCAGCTGCCCCTGCCCCACCATGAGGGGCCCACATTGTGGTCTTTCTTATGCCGGATGAAAAGCTTTCTCATTTCCCAGTCTTCCTGGTTTTAAAGACACATCCTAGTGGGACGCGGGTGGCGCTGTGGGTAAAAGCCTCAGCGCCTAGGGCTTGCTGATCGAAAGGTCGGCGGTTCGAATCCCCGCGGTGGGGTGCGCTCCCGTTGCTCGGTCCCAGTGCCTGCCAACCTAGCAGTTCGAAAGCACCTTTGGGTGCAAGTAGATAAATAGGGACCGCTTACTAGCGGGAAGGTAAACGGCGTTTCCGTGTGCTGCGCTCGCTCGCCAGATGCAGCTAGTCACGCTGGCCACGTGACCCGGAAGTGTCTCCGGACAGCGCTGGCCCCCGGCCTCTTGAGTAAGATGGGCGCACAACCCTAGAGTCTGGCAAGACTGGCTCGTACGGGCAGGGGGGGTACCTAGTGGCTTTTAGACATCAGGAGCTAGTGGCTTCATTTCAATGTTGTTTTAACCAGTCTTTAAGTTTGGGCTCATTTTGCCTTCTTACATTTTATGGGTTTGTTTTGTTCCTAAATTGTATGTTGCCAAAAAGAAAGAAAGAAGTATTGCTGATGGGCATTGGAAACTTGTGCTATAAGCAAAATGGCTGGGGAAACCAAGCCAGATGGACGGGGTATAAGTAATAAATTATTCTTATTCTTATTCTTATTCTTATTCTTATTCTTATTCTTATTCTTATTCTTATAAAATGAAACAAGAACACAGAAGCTGCCACCACGTCCAGCAGGGTCTGGCCCCCTCCCTCTGGCCTTGCCAGCCCAGTGCTCCCTCCCTGCAGTCAGCCAACCTGAGGAAGCGGTTGAGGTCTCCGTGCTTCATGTACTCAAAGACCATGACGAGGGGCTCCCCGTCAGTGCAGACCCCGTAGAACTTGACGATGTGTTCATGCTGCAGGACTGTCAGCAGCTCTGCTTCACGCTGGAAGTCCAGGCGGGCGTTCTCTGTGGCTTCCTTCAGGGTCTGGGGAAGGAAGGTGAGCTGGGTACATTACAGGAGCAGCAGCCAGAGGAGGCTCTGCCGCAAGGGCAGGAAGGGCACAGCGCCGGAGGGAGGGGGGACTCAACCATCTCGCTCTCGAGGCAGAGATGCACAGGCCTGAACAATTTAGCTGGTGGGAACCCCAGCTTGAAGTTCATGGCAACTGGACAAACACTTTGGAAAACCTGCCCTGAATTTAGGGAGAACTGCCACCCTCGCCTGCCTTGACAGGGGTCCATTCGGCTCACCTTGACGGCCACCAGCATCTTCTCCTGAACAGAGCTGAGGTTGTAGCACTCAGCCAGGAAGACTTTGCCAAAGGCTCCCTCTCCCAGCTCCCACTTCAGGACGATGTCCCTGCGCTTGATGTGGTGGACACCTGTGCGGAGGAGAAAGGGAGCTCTGAGTCCAAAGTGGGAGGCTGAGAGAAACTCTCATGGGGTATGCAGAGCTCCTGAGGATCGCACCTTGGCTAACCCGCCCCATGGCTTGGCTCTCAGATACTGGCCCAGGAGAGGATGACAGAGCAGACAGGGCTGCCTGCCATCTAAAGGGTCGGGGGGGGGGCATGAGGATGCCCTGCTATTTGTTCCACCGGCTAAATCCCTTTGCAGTGGGACTTTGGGGGTACATCCGCAGCTCCCGCTGGGCTTACATTGCAGCCCCCTCCCCTATCCTAGACACGCTCCATTGCCACACTGGCCCACCCCTTTCCAGCAAAATCTGCCTATGCATTGAAATACCCACATGAAGGCCCCACCCGCGCAGAAGAATTGCTCCAGGCACTCACAGGCATTGCAGAAGTACTGGGGGTTCTCAATGAAGTTGGTCTTGAGGGCGTCCAGCTTGCTCTCCGCAGAGGAAAGGGGGCTGCTGCCCCAGTTCATGAACTGCAGGGATATGGCCAGGTCATCCTCTTGCGCCAACACAGCTGACCCTGTGAGATGGAAGCCATGAGACTCTGACACAGGCACCTTCCGCCCCAGGGCAGGCCAGATGGGGTGGGGTGTTCAAAACCCCAGCTCTCTGCCTGGAAAAACAATGAGCGTGCCTACCTGGGGAGGAAGGTCTCCTGTGCTGAAAAATGCTATGCGCACACAGAGTTTTATCCCACCATCCCAAGTGCCACATAAGAAGCAAAATAAAAAAAGCTTTTGGCATGCCCATAAATTCCCTTGTGGAGGATGGGGGGTGGGGGCTCAATAAATTTTAGAGTAACAAGTGAGGTCAGGCAGGAAGTTGTCTTCCCTGTCAGTGGCGTAGCGTGGGTTGTCAGCACCCGGGGCAAGGCAAGTAATTTGCGCCCCCTAACCCGTGGATTTGCGCCCCCTAACCCGTGGATTTGCGCCCCCTAACCTGTGGATTTGCCCTAACCCCAGATGTTGCGCCCGGTGCAGCTGGCCCCCCCTGAACCCCCCACGCTACGCCACTGTTCCCTGTGGAATCATCCCTGTGGGATAGAGCTCACCTTGCCCAGCAAATCCCCCTGGGGGAACCAGTGAGGCCTCTCCCTCTGCCCTCCAGCCCTAGGCCAGGGACCAAGGCACATGGGGGGCACCTTCACACAGGGCCTCTTGGCCAGGGAAGCTCCCTGCCTCCTGGGCTGCTGGGCAGGTGGGCCTCCTGGATGCTTTTAGCCTGATGGAAGTCAGCTTCTGCGGGCCCACGAAATGCTCAAGGCAAGGCGGCAAAAGGAGCAGGAGCCCCTCCCTTCGCTGCTCTGAGTGGGAGGCATTGGCAAGGGAGCAGTAACCGGAGCGTTTAAGCCTCCAGTAATTACTGTGAGAGGGTCCATAACCAGCAAGCCTTCCCCCCCATGCATCTTCATCAACGTCAGGGCAAGGATGCCTGGCTGCAGGAGCCTGGCAGGAGTGGGGGGAGGTGGGGAGAGAAAGTGACTCGAGATCTATAGGGCTGGTGGCTGGGGAGTTGGCAGGGATGGGGGGGGGGCTCCAAAGGCAGAGAAAAGCCTGGAGAGTCAACCTCAGAGTCAGCCAAATGGCATGTGCAAAGCGGCAGCCTCCTCTTCCAGGATAGGCGACCAGATCCACCCCACAGAAAGGAGCAATAGGAAGCCACTGGGCTCCATCCTGCTCTGCATTCTCGACAATGACCCACAGCAAGCAGGGAAGCCAGCAGGGATTGAGCTTGGGACCTACCATGGAGTTCCAGCCTTTCTTCCTAGAAAGACCCTGCAGGCCTCTCTGGCATCTGACTCTCTGTCAGCTCTCCCCACTTGTAAGCTGCCCCCCATGGCCAGTCTTAGAAACTGGGGTAAGAATGCTAGGATCCATGTGACCCGTGGGACCCAGGTTGTGGGCATCAAAACAAAATGTCTAGGTGCCTTTTTTCCTTTTTTTGCTGCCACACTACCAGACCAGGCAGCCCTGCAGCAAAAAATAAAGATGCTGAGGGTGAATCGGGGGGGGGGGCACTTTCAGCCAGTGCTCACGTGTCACCAGCACCCAGAAACTCACACAAACCCCGATGATCTGAATGCAGCCCTCTCCCTCTGGGGGCACTGCGGTGGGGGTGGGGTCACAGTGAAGAGGCTGGTCTTGCAGCCCACCCTCAGTTCAGTAGGCACAGGCCCATCCACCCAGCCTCCGCCATCCAGGCCGGCAGGTAGCCAGGCCAACTGGGCGGGGGCTTTGAGCTCTGCCCCTGCTGCTGCTGCTGCTGTGACATCTGGCTGCACAACAACAAGTGTCTGCTTCTCTGCCCCCCCCTCTCCCCACCCCTCCCTGCTGCCATTCCTGCCCCCCTGGGGGTGATCCAGGCAGATCAAACCCATTTACAGCCTGAATCAATTCCAGCAGTGAATTAGCAGCTGATGCCTGCCTGAAGGGGGAGGGAGAGGAAGGCTAATGAAATGGGGGAGGAGATGGAGGGAACCAGCTCAGCCTCCACCACCTTCCATTCCCCAAGCGGGGTGCAGCTCCCTTGCTCCCCGCAGCACAATAATTTAGGTGGCCAAGGAAGGGTGGAGGTAGCCACTGCAGACCGTGTGGTTGGGAAAGGTCCGCAATGAAATCTCAGAGAGGCCAAAGTTGGGGGTGAAGCACAGCTTCTCATGGAAAGTGGGGGGGGGGGGGACATCCAGCCGCCCCGGGACTTGGTTGCTCCTGCTTCCTCCTGTCCTTCCAAAGAGCAGGTGTTGGTGTATAACAAAGGCCAGGGCTCTGATTAGTATCTATTTAGCCACAATAGCTCAATGGAACCTCCAGCTTCAGAGACAGTCTATCTTTTGGGAGGGGGCTTCTGTCTCTTCAAGCATTTCTCATGGGCTTCCCAAAAGCACCAGAGGAAAGCAGGTGCTAGCCCTGTGCTTACAATACAGCTCCCTAGAGCTTCCTCTGTGGGACGCGGGTGGCGCTGTGGGTAAAAGCCTCAGCGCCTAGGGCTTGCCGATCGTATGGTTGGCGGTTCGAATCCCCGCGGCGGGGTGCGCTCCCGTTGCTCGGTCCCAGTGCCTGCCAACCTAGCAGTTCGAAAGCACCCCCGGGTGCAAGTAGATAAATAGGGACCGCTTACTGGCGGGAAGGTAAACAGCTTTGTCACGCTGGCCACGTGACCCGGAAGTGTCTCCGGACAGAGTGAGATGGGCGCACAACTCTAGAGTCTGTCAAGACTGGCCCGTACGGGCAGGGGTACCTTTACCTTTACCTTTAGAGCTTCCTCTGGGTCCCTTCCCCACTGTGAGCCCTCCTGACACCCAGCCACAGGAGCCACAGGCAGGCAGGTCACGCAGAGGAAGGAGAACCGCCCCTGTCCTCCTGGCTCCACTGGCACAATGGAAGCCTTGGGTGCTGAGCAAGACCCCTGGTCCCGTTAGCAGCTGGCAAAGGGGGTGGAGAGGAGGGAGGCACCCACACCTCAGAGGCCGAGCAGGAGGAGGGCTGAGGGGGGCTTACGGTTAATTCCGAACTTGGAGTGCTGCCCACACTTGTTGAGGATGATCAGCATGATGGAGAGGAAGAGGCAGGCACAGACTGCCAGGACCACGGCCACTGAGATCTGGAGGAGGAACAAGGGAACCATCAGTACCCCAGAAAAGCCAAAGGGTCCATCCAACCACAGTGGCCAACCAGGTGCAGGAAACCGGGTGCACAAGCAGCCCTCTCCCTGCCAGTGGGTCAGATGTGAGGAGCTGCGAAAAAGCCCTTCAATGGCCGTCCGGCCTCAAGGCCGAAAGGAGCAGGCAGAGATGACAGCACACCAGAACCAGGCTATTTCCGTCCTGTGTCCAGGAACTCCTGCCTGTGGCCTCCTTTGTTGTCATTTTGCACATGCTCAAAGGCATGCCTTCCTTTAACACCAGCTCAAATGTTCTCGGCTGCGCAGGTCCCCACCCGGCCTGCTTGGCTCATATGAAGCCCTGGGTGAGATCCATGTGCCCAACCGGCAAAGCTGGATGGGCCGCTCTGTAGCCATGGCTCCACCCTCACTTATGTAAGCCCAGACCTGTGCCCACTCGCCCCACACAGCTGGTCGCCAGGCCTCACCCCAATGGTGTGCTCCTCAGGAGTCTCCACTGGCCCTCCACGCTCAGTGCTGTTCATGTCACCTTTTCCTGGGGGCAAAAGAAGAAGCAGGAGAGGGAGGTTACGCCGTTCGCTCAGACTTCACATGGAGGCCTCCAGGATGCAACCCAGATGGCCCCACATCTGTCAGGGGCCTCCTTGGGGTCTGCCTCTCCTGGCACAGATGTACCCTGACTAAGATGGATGAGACAAGGCACAAAGACAGTTTTGCCGCTCCTGAACTCCAAAGCTGCAGCTCAGTGGCTCATTTCTCATGCTGAGGTAGGTGTCTTCCCCCCCCATCTAGGGTGTTCTGTGGCCCCCTTCTCCCCCCAGCCCTGTTGCAAAGGGACCTGCACATTCTTCCCAAATACTCACCCACTGGCGATAGGGAAACTAAGGCAGCAGTAAAAAGAAATAAGAGGAGGGAGACCTCAGTTAGCCTCTGGAGGCCACAGTTGCAGATACCCCACCCCTTGGTGACCCACAAGCACAGTTGAGGAGTGAGGGAGCTGGTGTGGCTGAGCCCCATGCCTGCCATGGGTGTTCCTGCCCCATTTCCCCCATCCAAACCAAAAGAGGGATCTTTTCTCCAAAGCCAGTGCAGCAGCCAGGAGCCGACTTCAGCTGCACAGCAGGCCCTTCCACCTCCTCCTCCTCCTCCTCCTCTGGTTTTAAGGCAAGCTTTGGGGTCACCTCACAGGAGAGAGCCTCGTACCAGGAATGGGATCCTCTGGACGAATGCCCACCCCAGGGGGGTCCATGAAGTGCTGGTAGGTGGTGCAGGAGTCGTTGCCCAGCTCGTTGCGCACCAGCAGTGTGTAGTTGCCATTGGAGACGTGCGTGGGGTTGTCGAAGTTCAGGCACCCATGGACCTTTGTGGTGTTCTTCTCCTCACGTGAGAAGAAGAAGGTGTACATGAAGTCATTCTCATGCAGCGCTTCGCCGTCCAGCTGCCACCAGATGTGGGGCGTGGGGTTGCCGTTCACAATGAAGGGGATGCACTCCTTGTGGAACTGTCGCAGGACGGAGCCCACCTCAACAATCACAGCAGGAACTGGGGAGACAGCGGGGGGGGGGAGCCAGAGCCTCTGAGGTGGGAGCAGCCACTGTGCCCATCTCCTCTCCTGGGACCCCGGGGGGGGGGCTTCCAGTCAGGGGGCTTAATATTGCGTGGGGATTGGAAGCCACAGCAACAGCACATATTGGATTGAATGGGGATGGAGGGGGAGAGAACTTTGGATGCTGGCAACATTTCTGTGTCTGTATGAGCAGGATCCCTCCCACCTGGAAGCCCCTTAAACCCAGATCTAACTGCTGGATGAAGAGTTAAGCTAGAATTATGGGATCAGCCCAGTGACATTTTATGTTTTGTATTTCTGTTTCGTTCTTGATTTTTTTTTTAAAGGATTGTTACACTGTGTGTGTGTGTGTGTGCCTCCCAGACCATATCATTTATTTATTTTGACCTCTCATTTGCATGAAGCTCCCTGCAAGAGCCCCATAACATTCATATGTCTGCTTTCTCCAATTGCAAAGAGCTTTTCATGTAGGGGAACATTTTAAAAAGTCACTCCCCTGCAAGACTTAGCCTGAAACAAGAGAGGCACCTCATTCTGCTGCATGTTTCAAGGTGGCCACACGTACCCTGCCCTAGGAGCCGATTCTCTGTCAGACCCCTGCAGCCAGAAATAGCCCTTTGAGTTTCAAAGGGGCCCTCAGACCAGCAGGCCCTTCTCCAGGCTGGCTGGATGCACCCGAGAAATGGCCCTAGAGCCACCAGCCCCCTCCCCTGGAAGGGCAGCTGGTACTGGACACCCACTCAGCCTGGGAGGGAGGCCCCTCCCAGAGGGAAAAGACCAAGAAGGCTGCAGGAGACAGATGAACTCTCTTACACGTCACATTCAGCTGGGCCACATCCTCTGCAAGTCCAGCTTCATTCTCTGCCTGGCAGGTGATATTCTGGAGGTTGAAGTCAGAGGAGACATTCCAGATCTGCAGCTGGAGTTCAGACTCAGACTTCTGCATGGACAGATGAGATGCTCACATTGAACATGTGGCTGAACCAATGAAGTTGGATAGAGAAAGGCTGGTCACACACTACAGCCCCCCCCCCAGTACCCGCCCTCCAAGCCCTGCTATAAAGCTTGGAGTGACTGAGGGATAATCAGCTTCCTAGAGGAGGTCAGTCAGTCATGGACTGGACTTTGCCTGTTTAGCCCCAATTCCTGTTCTCCTCCCTGGCACATGGTGGCCTCTGGGGACAAGGCCACTTGCCCATCCAGGTTGGTACTTGCCTGGGTGATGCGGGGAGGAAGGTCCATCCAGATGTTCGGCAGCAACCAGCGCACATCTGGCCGTGGCTCTCCAGTGAAGTTGCAGGTCAGGGTGACGCTCTCTCCCTCTCCCAAGGGCTCCTGGTTGTACTCAATCCAGACCCTCGGGAATTCTGCCCCAAGAGAAGGGACAGAGCAGAGGTGGCTGAAGGCAGGCTCTGGCCAGCAACATCCTGCCCCAGGGAGGAAGCTGCCTGGTGGCTCAGATGAGCCCCCAGCTGTGGCACAAAACAGGGGCCATGGGAGATGGCAGAGAGGGCCCCACACAGCTCCTTACTCACTCACCACAGCCTGCAATGGTCATGTTAGCCACAGGGATCACCTTCTCGCCCTCTGCCACACAGTGAAGGGACTGGTTGCCCAAGGACTCGGCCTGCCTGCTCTCCTGCCACACCTGCAGCCACCGGAGGCGGCAGGTGCACTGGAGAGGGTTCCCGATCAGCACCCTGTGGGTGGGGGGGAAGAAAGGGGGGAGGTCACGGGCAGTTCAGACTCAGGCAGTGGCCCCAAACTCTGAATGACAAGCTCTACCAAACCCTGCAGAAAACTCTGAAGAGGAGGTGTGGCCATCCCAAGAGCATCCGTTTCCTCATTAAAAAACAAAAAGACCCCACCAGTTTCTAGCCCTTTGGGAGGTTTAAAAACACGTCATGAGTGCCCCCTGGCCCTGTTGCAAGAGCTGTTTTATCCTAGCCAGAAATAGGAGGACAAAAGTCAGCTTCCTCTCCCCTCTCCTCTTAACATGAAGTGAATCTTCAGAACTGCGTCATGGGACAGGACAGAACTTGGGGTCATTATTCCAAATTAATGAAGCCAGAAGAAAGCAAGGGCACCACCAGGAGGGAGCTGGCGGATGACTTGGCCTGGAGAGATTCACAGCTGCAGCCCATGCAGAGACATGGATGGGGTGGGAGCAGCAGGAGGGGGGGTGCTTCCTTCTGCAGGTGTAGGAATGATGGAATTGTAAATTTGGAAGGAACTGCAATCCCCTGCAAAAAAGGAGTTTGTCAGGCATTTTACACCAGCTGAAATTCTCCTTTCCACCAAAGGAGCAGGAGTCCACCCAACATTGCATCTTTTCAGCTGGCCACCCAGCCACCACTGACCACAGTGACTCCCAGGGGAGGGTGCCTCAGTTTCTCTCCAGCAACATGATTCAAGTGGCCACAAAGGTGTTTAAGCCCTTGAAACCTTGAGGTCAGGATGCTTGCAAAGCACCAGAGCACAGTCTCTCGCTCCCCTCCTGATGCTTCCTATGAACAAATCAGCAGAGCTGCCCCCTCTTCCCCCTTGAAAAAGACCCCAAAACCTCAGTAGCACCAGCAGGAGGGCACTGCATGTGGGAAAGGGGTTTGGCCCTGAAGCACCACAGCTCTCCCAAATGCCCCGTCCAGAAGGGGCCAATGGGAGGAGACTTACAGCTCCTGGAGATGGAGGTGGTGGAAGAGCCTCCAGGACAGGAAGTGCAGCTGGTTGTAGGCCAGGTTCCTGCACGGGGACAGAGAGAAAGAGAAGCCTCGTTTGCCTTGGGATGGGCCTCTGCCTGTCTCTGCTAGTGTACGACAGGCAGAAGTTAAACAGGTGCAGGGGCTCCTGGCTGAAACTGCCCCAGGTGCCGCCACCAGAAGAATTGTTAACTGCAGGCCAGCTCTCTCTCTGCTGCAGTGATTGTGTTGCTGAGAGAACCTGGGAAACAGGCCCAGGCTGAACCTTGGATGCCTGGGAGCAACGCCCCCCTCTCTTTAGAGCCTTGCAGGCTCCCTGCTGGATCAGGCCAAGGGAGCCCATCTAATCCAGCCTCCTGTCCTCACAGTGGCCAGCCAGAAGCCTCCAAGCAAGACCCGATTGCAACACAAATACTCCCCTCTGCGGGTTCCAGCAACTGGGATTCAGAAGCATTTGCTGCCTCTGACTGTGGAGGCAGAGCATGGCCATTGTGACTAGTAGCCCTAGGGAGCTTTTTCTCCTCTATGAATTTGTCCAGTCCCCTGCTAAAGCCCTCCTGGCTGATGGCCATCATTTCAGCCAGGATCTTAACAAGGAAAGCCCAAAGAGCAGGAAGCCAGTTTCAGCCCCCCTCCCACCCCAGCTGATCTCCCAGGGCCAACAATGCCTGTTCCTCTGAGCCCCATATTGGATCTGAGCAGGAAGCTGGGGGGTGGGGTGGGGGGTGGGCGGCCAGCCACTGGCCATGAGCTGCATGGGAGCAAATCAATATTCCCGTGTTGTACAGGGACATTAACACTAACTATGATAAACAGTGTCCTCCCAGCCCAAGGCCATAGCAAAGTTCATCTGCCCAGTAGTTTCCTGCTGCCTCCATCCACGTCACCACAATCCCAAAAAAGAACAACTTGCTAAGCAAGTCTCCAGTACTGAGCCTGAAGAACAGGAGCTCCCCTGGCCCCATCCCAACTGACGTTCCAAGCAAGGAAATTGGGAGTGGAAGGGGAATCACAAGGTAGGTGGCTGAAATTCCCAGAAACAACCCCAAGAGTTTGGTGGTGGCTGCTCCTTTGCAGCCTGAGGGGGAAATGGAGGCCCAGGGCAGAGGAGCCCAAGCAGTCCTATCCTCCCCACGAAGAGGCACAGTCTGTCCTGCGCTGGGCAATGCAAAGGTGTGGACTTGGGAAGTGCTTGTGGCTGAGGAGCCAGGTACTTACACATGCGTCAGGTTCAGGCTGCCTCTGAAGGTGTCTGGTGCAATGAACTGCAGCTGTGTCCTTGAAATGGTTCTGCAACAAATGAGCAAAGTCAGTCGGAGTGCAGTGGCCTGTTTTTGCTGCAGCAACACTTCTGTACCTCCGTGCCTGTCTGGGCCCAGGAAGGCAGTGCCACCTCAGGAGAGGCAATGGCCAAATGTCCCTGGCCTCAGCAGGATGGAGCACAGGATGGAGGCAGGCCAGTCACAGGCGGGTGGAGTGGAGAGTGCTCCTGACAGTGGGGCTCCTGAAGCCATAGTAGGGTCTTTGCCATGCATGTCAGGGGGGCTGGCAAGAGGGCAGATGGTGCTGTGTGGGGGTGGTGAGGCTCTTCCATGGGGCTCTCTGCCCTCACCTTAGAAAATGACACTGGAGGAATTTTCATCCTCAGCAATGGGAGGAAATTTCCCAAGGCAGGTAGGAATCTGGGGCAGGCTGTTCACTCTCTCCTCTCTGCAACCCGGCTCTGACATCATTCCCAAGAAACAGGTGCCTCCAGTGAAGCGCCACTGAAGCCCACCTGTGCTTCAGAGAGACCTCATGGACCCTCAGGCTTAGGTACCTGCCCTGAATCTGGGGCACCTGCGCCAGGGCTCCTCCTGTTTGCTCAGCATTGGGGGGGGGGAGCATTTCCTTCCCCTTCCTCCAAAGCTGCCTGAAATGGGGGAGGTGCAGAAGGAGGTGGGGTGGAAGCAGACCAGGAGCTGGAAGGGAAGCAAAAGCAAAGCTACACACTCTCTGCTGTGGCAGAAACGCCTCACTCTCTCTGCCCAAAGGAGAACCCTCCCCAACCACACACTTCCAGCCGCCTCCTCGGCCTCCTCACAGACCCCCCAACCGGAGCACCAAGCAGCCAAGGGACTCACAGGTTCTTCAGCTCTCGAGGATTCTTCATGTCATCCTGAGTCAAGTTTGTCAGACCAATCTGGTTCTCAATGACTCTGTGAAGGAGAGGAGCCTGTCAAGCCATATTCACGCTGTGTCATGATTAAATGCTTGCCTAATAAAAAGTCTGAATAAACATTCTTTCTGCGGCACCCCGTGGGGCTCAGAAGCCCAGTTATGTCACCCCTTGCTTGCTCCCCCCTTGCACCAGAGCTGCTGAAACAGCTTATCCAGTGAAGGCCTGTGTACACATTCAGGCTTGTCGCCCCCCCCCCCAAAGTCTGTTCACTGTGAAGTTGTCAAATTTTAGTTTATGGATTATTTTTATTTTATTTTTACTTGAAAGAAAACTAAAAAACCATTTATGTCCTAATAAGGCCATTTTACTAAGAAGAGGGGAAAGCAACCAGCAAGAAATTGAGCCTGAAGGGAAACATAGGAAGCCAATACCTTGTACAGTGGTACCTCGGGTTACATACGCTTCAGGTTACAGACGCTTCAGGTTACAGACTCTGCTAACCCAGAAATAGTACCTTGGGTTAAGAACTTTGCTTCAGGATGAGAACAGAAATCGTGCTCTGGCGGCACAGCGGCAGCAGGAGGCCCCATTAGCTAAAGTGGTGCTTCAGGTTAAGAACAGTTTCAGGTTAAGAACGGACCTCCAGAACGAATTAAGTACTTAACCCGAGGTACCACTGTACTGAGATAGACTGAACTGGTCCATCTAACACAGCATTGCCTACACTGACTGGCAGCAGCTCTTCAGGAGTTGCACCCAACACTGATTCTGCTCAGAGTAAACCAATTGTAATAAATGGACAGTAGTAACTGGTGCATCCATTTCAGAGGGTCTACTCTGAGAAGAACTTTGTTGGCTACAACCTCATTTTTTGAGAAGCTGGGAAATGGTTGTGGGGCTTTCTGCTCTGGCCACTGAGCTGTGTGGATCTCCCTTCCCTGGCACTGCCTCTTCTCTCCCCGCCCAGCACCCCTGCAGCCTTGCCAGCTTCTCCTTGAGCTCCCTCTGCAAGCACAAGGCAGCCCCCTCCGCTGTTGTGAACAGGCAAAGGCTGCATGAAGTGAAGGGAGGAGAGAAGAAGAGGCTTCAATTTCAAGACTGGCTGGCGGGGGGGGGGGCAGACACGGACCCCTTGGCTCTGTTGTGACAGACAGGCTGGGAACCGCAACAGAGCAGAGGATGCCCCTTGAGGGATTTCACTCGCACCCAGGGCAACCTCCACTGCAGTCTCTCCAGAAAACCTCCCACGAGTATTGGGGGTATCAAAAGAAGCCCATTGGGGCTTTGGCAATGCCCTGGGATGGACAGGCCTGCTGCAACAGATGCTGCAGTTGCCCGATGGAAGCCCACAGGATGTGGCCTGACAGTTTCCCTCGCACATTGCTGAATCGCACCCAGAATCTTACAAGCAAAGTGGATAGAGATCTGCTATGTTTGCTTATTCAGATAAGTCTGTTCCACAGAGCTGCCCTTTCATCTCTTGCTGTTAGTGTGATGATCATTATTCCCATTTGGGGGTGGGAGGAGCAGCCCACACTTTCTCCCTTGCACCTTTTCTGATCAGGCTGTGAGGCGTGAAGGCTGCTCTCTGCAAGACCCTTTCCACCTGGCCAAGGGGACGGGGCCCAGACTCACCCAGCTCTACTCAAGAGGCCCCTGGGAGACCGGAGGGACATCACTATGCCTGACAACAAATCCTAATTATTGGATTCTTTTGCCCTATCTTTTTGTGCTTGCTTAACAGCTGTGTCATGCTCATAATATTTTATTCTCTTGTTAATTATGCTGTTTTAAATGTGCATTTTATATTTGAAATGTTTCAGATTTTGTTTTTGTTTTGTGTTAAATATGTATTCTGTAGTTGACTTCCTTTGTAATGTTTTATTTTGAAATCTTTGAGATGGTATTTTAGTCTCCTGTTAATTGTGTTGCTTTGATTGTGTAATTTATATTTTACTTTCTTCAGAAATGTTTGATTCTGCATTGTTTTGTTGATGTTTAATATGCTGTAAACCGCTTTGAGATTTTTCTTAAAAATGATGAAATAATAATAATAATAATAATAATAATAATAATAATAATACAGTAATAGTAACAACAACAACAAAAGCTGATTCACTGGTGACCCACCCAAAAGTGGTCCCAGTGGCTGCTTGGATGCAGTTTAGGCCACAACACACTCTTTGAGCTTCCCTGGATAGAAAGTGGTTTCTAGTCTAACTTATTCAAGCATATTAGAGAACTTGGAGTTGCTTAAGGAATAGCGGGCAGCAGAAAAATCCCAGAGCACCCTTCACAGCACCTTCAAGTGGGGAGGGATTTCTAAGAGAAAAGGCAAACTATTTCTAAGCCTCTTTAAATCATGTTCTGCTTCTGGTGCCACATGTGACTAATGGTCACTGGCATGACTAGTCGTCTCCCGCCTGTGAATGGGAGTGGCATCGCCCACATTTGCCCAGCCTGCAGCTGGCGTCTGTCCCCCATAGATCTTCCAGGAATGTTTCTCCCAGCCACAGCCAGTGGGGGATAATTGATGGACCCTTGGAGAGAAGATTGTAATGGCCCAGCTTTCCTCCATTTATAGCACAGAAGATGGAGAAGAGCTATTAGCAAAGTCTCCGACAAGGAGACCTCAGGGGCTGCAGCATCAGGGCAGGGGGACCTCCACACCCCTGAACAGCCAAGTCAGATGCAGATCACACACTCCCTTCCTCGCTCCTGCAAAGAAGTCTTTGTGTTGCTGTACCTAGAAAGGAGTTGGGCTGGCTGGCCACAGCCCTACAAGAGGCTGAATTTTCTAGCGTTCTTCAGGTGTGCATGTAGGTGAGCTCCCCATATGTCCATTAGGGTGGTATGCAAAATTTGCCAATTTAAGGGTGAACAGAATACCTGCACAAGTCAAACTGGACAGCTGGTATGGTTACAACCTCCAGTTCTAAAATCAGCATGATAATGATTAACTTTTCTCAGTTGGCTTTCCCTAGAAAGCACAAATATTAATGCACACAGATTTCCATTCTGCTGAAATCATACATTAAACAGTTTTCAGCTCTTTCATTATAAAGAATAAAATCTAACCTAAGGGAAAACATGACAAAAGCTATTGAGGTGTCGTCTTTTAAAATCCTTGAGGGTGTTCCAATAAGAGCAGTTTCCAAGTAAAGCTTTGAATTTGTTTGAATACAACGCACGCCAAAGCTACAGTTCTCTGCACATTTACCCAGAGTGCTTTCCATTGAAATAATTTTACTTTTCTGAGTAGAAGGAACCCCACAGGGATCGCGCGGGTCCCGGGGGCGGTGCACTCCCCCCCCACTCCTCTTCCTCCGCCAGTGTCTCCTCCTGGATCCTTTGCTGTCACTTGGTGGTGTGGAGTGCCTTCCATCAGCTTCGGCTGTTGGTCCAGCTGTGCCTAACATCTGTTGTCTTATGCTCTGTCTTATGCTCTGGTAACCTCTAGGTTAGATTATTCTGCAGTGTATTACACATAAGGCTACCACTTAAGATAGTTCAGAAGCTTCGAGTGCAGAATTCAGCAACTAGGTTGCTCATCTGGTCAAGATCCCTTCTCTTGATATGAATCTACTCAGACCCTGAGCTCATCATCTGAGGCCCCTCTTCATGTGCTACCTCTGCAAGAGGTGGGTGGCAGTGTGAGAATGGGCCTTTTCTGCAATGGCTCCCCATTTGGTGGAATGTTCTTCCCATGGAGGCTTGCCTGGAACCTTCATTACATATCTTTAGGTGCCAGGTGAAAATGTTTCTCTTTAACCATATAAATTCTTCTTCTTCTTCTTCCCCCCAGGGCTTGGACTGATTAACATTCTGTGGCCTTTTAAATGTTTTTGTGGGAGGGAGAGGGGTTATTGGTTTGTTTTTGTTTATGTTTTATTATGTATTTTGTGTTCTCATTTAGTATTTTTATGTTGTGGACTGCCCTATCATCTTTGGATGAAGGGCAGTATACACATTTTTAATAATAATAATAATAATAATAATAATAATAATAATAATAATAATTGAAAAAGGCAGGGGTGGGGGCCCTATTCTTCTCACCCTCCACTCCATACCTTCCCTTTGACAAAGAGAGCACAAATACTTGGGGAGTGGGGGTTCAGAGTTTCTAAGATAGTTCAAAAAAATTGGTGTGTTGGGTAGCCTGAAAGCTCTGTGGTCAGCTTGGGCAAAAACTGAGAATTCACTTTTGGGGAAAATACAACATTTTTATGCTGCCTGATAAATTGACATTCTCAGGGGAGGACACTTATAAGTAAAAACAATTAAAATCCAAACAACATTTTAAAGCGAGAGGTAGAAAATCTACAGCAACACATCCAAACCATTTAGTGCATCCATCAAATTAAAAATGGGATCACATCTCCTGAGTTATTTGAAAGACCTGGGTGAACAGAAAGGCCTTCGTCTGGTACAAAAAGGACTAACGAAATAGATACAATTAAAAGGTGGAATGAAGTTTGTAATAAACAGGAATTGTGATTTCTTATTTCTGTGCTATTCTGCCCCCACAAAGGTGTTGGGCCTGTCTTACAAAGGTCCTTCTAGCTGCCAATTCATCCACCTCCTCTTTGTCCCAGGCAAAATCAGAGTCAAACTGTCTCTGGACTCAGAGGATGCATTGAGGGGTCATCTCTGATATCCCTCTGGAATTTATGGGATGCATTTGAAATGTGTATTAAGTCTTTGGCTGTTGCCACATCTTGTATGGGGGACTTCCATAGGTTCTTATGGGTGTGTGAAGAATTTATTCTACCTAGTGCAATTGTCAAACAAGGTGAAGCCACCTGTTAATTAGTCTTTTCTCTAAACTGCAGCACCCCCACCCCAGCCTTCCTCTGTGCGGAAAGTGCTCCAGCCCAGAGATTGTTTTGGTTGTGCCTTCTCTCCTTCTGGAGCCATGACTAGGCATGGGATAAGCAGAATCACTGCACCACAGATAGATAGCATGGTGTTTGTTCTGCCTGTTGGACTGTCAGCGCCATCCTTAACTATTCCCATTGCCGACACTGCCTCTTTCACAACCCCATTAAACTGAGCAGCCCCCCCCCCGCACTCTTGGACTAACTGAGACACCGTTAGGCTACCATCTTGGCCATGCCAGCATTAAAACAGTTCACAGAGGGAGAGGGTTGGATGCCAAGCTGGGATGAAGGCGAAAGGAAGGGGACTCCTCTAGCATCCTTTCCTGGGTGGTTTTTCCAGGAAACAGCCTCTCTCTCTCTCTCTCTCTCTCTCTCTCTCTCTCTCTCTCTCCAGGCAGGGCTGACGCACTTTCCCATCCCCGCAGCAAAGGGCGAGGTGGGGGCAACACTCCTCAGGGGAGTCAGAGTTGCCCGCAAACACATCGTGAGCAGCCAGGCTACTTCCTGGACCTGAGCTGGCATCAGCCAGGGAGTCTCTAGGAAAAGGATCGGCAGCCTTGAGACGGGCTCCCAGTAGGACGACTGGGACCAGGAGGAGCAAAAGAGCAGCGCATTTCATTGAGCAATATTACTTATCACACTGTGAAGTAATATTGGCTAGGGAAGCTAATGTGTTGGGCGGTAGTGGATCCTGGATGTTGTCTGCAGATGTTGCACAGCTAAACTACAGATTAAGCTACAGATGTTGCACAGCTAAAGCCACTAGGCATGCCTCCCCCCTCCCCAGCAGCCGTTGCCATGTCCTGCTGCTTCCTACCCTTTACCTTCCTACCGCTCGGCCAGCCTATCATTGCCCTTTGCTCAGGAGCCCCGGAGTATTTGGAGACTGCGGCTTCTCCCGCCGCCTCTGTCCGTCCCTCGGCCGCTGGCCGGCCGCCCTCCCCCAGCGAAGAAGTCAGGCTGGCCCTGCCTGCCTCTGTCCGGCTCGCCCCTAGCTGGGCTTAACCGCAGGTCCCTCTTGGGGCCGGTTTATGACGGACAGAAGCGCAGCAGTCCCCGTCCAAGTCCCATTGTAAGGAAATGGCTTGGAAAGGCTCGCTGACATCCTCCGACTGCAGGGCTGCCGGTCCACCTCTGAGCTGCTCTGGAAGCACTCCTGGCCGAAGGAGACGCAGCCATAGTCCGAGGGCCGCAGCGAGCAGGTCGAAGTTGCTCCTCGCTTGGCCAGAATAATAGATTCGTAGAATCGCAAAGTTAGAAGGGACCCCGAGGGTCATCTAGTCCAACCTCCTGCAATGCAGGAATCTCAGCTAAAGCATCCATGACAGATGGCCTTTCGACCTCTGTTTAAAAACTTCTAACACCTTCGAGGGAGTCCACTGTCGAACAACTCTTCCCATCAGAAAGTTCGTCCTGATGTTTAGTCGGAATCTCCTTCCTGTAACTTGAATCCATTGGTTCGGGTCTTAGCCTCCGGAGCAGGGAAAAACAAGACAGGAGAAGAGGCACCTCGGCAGAGAGGGCAGCACCAGGCAGGCATGCACGCACGCAGTAGCCTCTCTCTGCCCCTAGGACTCTGCTCACTGTCCCACTTGCCCCAATTCAGCTTTCTCAGTTTCTGTCTGCATATTGCGAGCCTCTCCTGAGTTTTGCTACCATGTCGGAATGAGCATCCCGTGCCTTTAGGCGTGGGCGTTGCACACGCAGGGGTTTCTTCGGGAGGGGGGAAACTGGAGCTGTGATGTCGTGGGCCGCCCCTCCCCCCGTTATCCCATACAAGGACGTGCCTGTTGTATAGGAGAAGAAAGGTGCGTGTGTGCTTGGAGGGAGGGAGACGCCTGCGAAGACGGTAGGAGAGGAGAGAGCGCACCTGTTTGCGCAAAGGGACAGATCACTTTAAGTCGCCCCCCCCCCCGCGCAATCCCAATTCCAAGTAGGCTGCATTCGCTTTTTCCAACAGGAGTTGCGATTTTGGTCCAATAATAAAAAGCTTAAACCTATTCTTTGATGTTAAGATAATGCTATTCAGAAGATGTAATAGAAAATTACTGTTCCATGCCGGTTCTATTTCCATTCAAGGAAGTGCTCAGTGGAGGCGCCTACCCAAGGTGAGCGCCTTCCTAAATAGTGCTGTTCTCAGGTGGCATTTTGGTTCTGGGTTCTCCACCCCTTAAAGATTTCACATGGGGGGGGTCATCATTGGGGAGAGGCTTATTCAAACTCATCTTGTGCTGTAAGAGCATGCAGTGGGTCAAGATGTGCATACACTTGCCCCCCAACCCTATTGTATAGACGTTTATTTAGGGTATAGGGTATAGGTTATTTAGGTGTATAGGGTTTATTTAGGTGTACATCTCTGATTTTTTAAAAATAAGGCACAACTTAGATACTAGATTCGCATTCTCTCACTTTTAGGAAGATCCCTTAAACCTCTACCGGCTCCCTGTGATCCTAGAGATGTTTTTCCCCAGCTTGCTTTGCAAGAAATGTGTCAGTCAGAGGTCCAAATTCTCTGGAGGCAAAGGCACCCCAACTTCGGCTGCGCCCTTCTACTAGGAACTCATGGAGGAGTGAGGCAGGAGTTGCAGAACCCCATCCCGTTCCCATCATACCTACCCACAGGCAGGCGCCCCCGGGCAACACTCACATTTCTGTGAAGTTCTCCAAGCCCCGCAGCTGCGCCAAGTTCTGGATGGTGTTGGGCTCCTGGCAGAACAAGGTGTTCATGTAGCACCTGCACTGCTCCAGGCAGGGCGAGGCGGCGCTCCGAGGCAGGAGCAACCCGGCCAGGCAGAGGAGCATCCCTGCACAGCCCCAGAGCATCCTTCGCCCACGGAGAGGCATCCTCGGCTGTCGGCTCAGAAAGTCCCGCGGCTCCTCATCCGCTACCACCCAACCGAGCAGCCTCGTCCGGCCCGGTTCTGCTCTCTCGCTGAGCCTCTTCCTTTCTTGTAAGTCATGGACCATATGCACGCACTCTCTCGCAGACACACAATTGCTCATTTCCCAACCTCAGAGGGCGGAGTTTGCTCCAAGTCCTCCTCCAACAACACAGAACCCCTCCCTCTCCAAGCGAGTGACCGCCTGTCTCAGTGGACACAGCAGCGAGAGCAATGGCCACGTGGATGTGCCTCTTCTCACCCTGGAGCACAGAGGAAGGGAGAGGAGCTTCTGTGGCCCCAGCAGCCTCCTTCCAGGGTGCCCTTCTCGCCGGTGGTCGCGGTTGGCCCTAGTGCCCGGTGGGAGCTTGGAAGGAGCGCGCGAGAGAGAGAGCAAGACCACCACCGCCTGCGGGAAAGCTGCTGGAACTCAAGCCGCCTTTGAACCAGCACAGACGTGACTCCTCGCATGCTCAGAGACTATTTCTTTTTTGTTACCGGAAACTCAAGTTGTAAAGAGTGGAATGGACACCAAGCTCACCCCGCTCGCCCCACTATGCATGAGTATCACTTTCGGCCGCCCCGGCTTAACAATGTCTTCATGTGAGAAGCGGCACCGGGCTGCTGGAAGCAGTTCTGCAGACCCTTGCGCTTGTGGCCAGGGGGTGTCAGGAAGGAAACTGTGGAGACTCAGGGACACCGCGAGAGGAGCTGAAATGCAGGACCTAAAGGGATGGAAGTAGGAGCAGCAGTGTCGGCAGAAAAGGGGGTTTGGGGCGGGGGTGGTGGTAGGAGAGACAAACTGGTTGGGGAAAACAGGTGCCTTCAGGTGGGGGAATCTTTAGGGATGCAGAAAAACTTGGAGGCTGAGCTGCAGAGCGGCGAGGAGTTGGGTGAGGAAGGTTCCCTCTCATGTTGGGGTGTGGTTCCTGTGTGTGTGGCTCTGGAGGGTGCAGACTCCTCCCTCTCCTTAAAGGTTATGGGCCTTAGGACATCTGTTCCTTGCCAGTTTCAGCGCCTTCTGTGCCCCCTCCCTTGCCCTCAGGGCTGCCAAGAGATTAGCAAATCGATTGATTAACTACCCAGCATCTAACTGATTAATCAATAAACCAACCAACACAATTTAAATGCATTTACATGCTGCAACACCTCAACTTTATAATGATGCTGCGAGAAAGGAGCGGTTTGGTAACCAACGCTTTCCCTTCTTAAAAAATTCTAACAAAAAACTTTCATTTCTCTCCTCGCCTCCCACTATTTGAATAGAAGCCCGGTACTTTCCTGCTATTATCTGAACCGAGTCCCTGGCGGGGATAGAGGAGGCTGTGGAGGAAAATAGATGGCTAAGCGGAAGAGGCAACGGAGCCTGCTGGCTACTGCAAACCACGGGTGCCAACTTGAAAAAATATGGAGGGGGGAGGCATTGGCGTGGCCAGGATTTATGTGGGCGGGGGGGGCTGAATCATCTGCGACGCAGTTGGTCAGTTAGTTAAGCATTTTTTCTTTTCTTGATTTAGGGGGGCAGCTGCCCCCTGCCCTCCCTTGGCTACTCATGTTGTTGTTGTTTAGTCGTTTAGTCGTGTCCGACTCTTCGTGACCCCATGGACCAGAGCACGCCAGGCACCTCTGTCCTCCACTACTTCCCGCAGTTTGGTCAGACTCATGCTGGTAACCTCGAAAACACTATCCAACCATCTCGTCCTCTGTCGCCCCCTTCTCCTTCTGCCCTCCATCTTTCCCAGCATCAGTGTCTTCTCCAGGGAGTCTTCTCTTCTCATGAGGTGGCCAAAGTACTGGAGCCTCAGCTTCACGATCTGTCCTTCCAGTGAGCACTCAGGGCTGATTTCATTAAGAATGGATGCGTTTGATCTTCTTGCAGTCCATGGGACTCTCAAGAGTCTTCTCCAGCACCATAATTCAAAAGCATCAATTCTTCGGCGATCAGCCTTCTTGATGGTCCAGCTCTCACTTCCATACATCACTACTGGGAAAACCATGGCTTTAACTATACGGACCTTTGTTGGCAAGGTGACGTCTCTACTTCTCAAGATGCTGTCTAGGCCTGTCATTGCCCTTCTCCCAAGAAGAAGGCGTCTTTTAATTTCGTGGCTGCTGTCACCATCTGCAGTGATCATGGAGCCCAAGAAAGTAAAATCTCTCACTGCCTCCATTTCTTCCCCTTCTATTTGCCAGGAGGTGATGGGACCAGTGGCCACGATCTTCGTTTTTTTGATGTTGAGCTTCAGACCATATTTTGCACTCTCCTCTTTCACCCTCATTAAAAGGTTCTTTAATTCCTCCTCACTTTCTGCCATCAAGGTGGTGTCATCTGCATATCTGAGGTTGTTGATATTTCTTCCGGCAATCTTAATTCTGTGGGATGTAAACACAGGAGCAGTCAATGACAACATTCCTAGAGTGTACATGTTAGAACATGGTGGGGATGTCTGTCCAGCAAGCAGGTAAACTTCCTGGGGACGGACTTCCTCCACATGTGACTAGAGGTGGGTGTGGCCTCACCTGTGCAGGTGATGACAAAAAGCACAGGGCAGGCAGCCATCTCTCTCTCTCTGCCATTTTCCTTCGACGAGGAAACACCTAAGGATGCCCTCTTGGCTCCCAGCCAAGAGAGGAGATAAGGCCTATCTTGCTATGAGATAGATTCTAAATCTATGTAACCTTTTTAAGCTGTGCCTTCTGGGATCACATTGTGAACAGAACGTGAGTAAACTCTTTTATACTTTTATGAAGACTGTGTCGTGTCTTGTATTTTAAGAGGGAACTAAAGGGGAAATTACCAGGGTAATTATTATAGAGGTTCTAGCGAACCTGTGCACACGTTACCGTTGCGTACTTAAAGGGGAATGTATATAAACTCTGCTGATATTTTGGGAACTTGTTAGCACAAGTTGGATTAGGATATAATCTCACAATATATCCTCTCCTGCACCCCAGAACATTCCCACAAAGGGTTAGTGGCCCCAGTATTGCATATTTCTGCGTATTTTTGGAGGATTGCATTGGATTGTGATTTTGAGTTGAGTAGTATTTTTCTGAGTTAACTTCCTGGTAAGCACATGGTCCTTTGTTCCATTGTGCAGTGGGGATTAAGCAACCCACCCCCTTCCCTCAGAGTTCACAGTGACCCAAGGCAGTGAAGAATTGTTTCGTATTTTGAGATTTTTGAGATTTTGATTTTAAAATTTTGAGAAATTTTGAAATTTTGAAGAATTTTCAAATTTTGGATTTTAAGATGGCTAGAGCAGCTTTTGATAGTGATGCAAAGCTAGGAATGCCTGTGCTGAATGAGTACAATTTCATGCACTGGAAGCAGCGCTTGATAGCATGTTTGGATTATAAGCACATTTTGGAAGCTTTAGAGCCTCAGCCTACAGGATCGTCTGAGGGAGATTTAGCCAAGATAAGTGCTTGGAAACGCATGAACAGCGAAGCTAGACACATAATTTTGAGTGGACTTCGTGATGAGCAGCTATCATTAATAAATAGCACAGATGATGCATCTCAAATCTTAAGAGATATTGAGCGCGTGTATGGAGAATCTAGCATAAACAGCTTCAGAAACTTGGTGTGTAAATTAACCAGATTGAGGATGAATTCAAAAGAGGAATTCACAGAGCACATCAACAAGTTTACTGAGATTATTCAAAGAATTGATCTGACTCCCAAAGCTTTTGATGAGGATACAAAGATAGCATTTTTGTTATCATCACTTGGACCACGCTTTGGTGCATTTGTAAGTTTGATGGAGCATAGACAAGGTCTGACATTTAAAGACTTGATTGGTTATTTAAAAGAAGAATGCAGAGATAGAGGTGAATCTCCAGTGAGAAATGCTAGAAGCAAGGACAGCAGTTATGCATCTAGGCAATGTACAAAGTCCAAAGAGATGCCTAAGAAAGTGATTTGCTTCAATTGTAACAAAGAAGGACACATTGCAAAGAATTGCAGGGCTCCTAAAGCAAAGAAACCCCACCCCTTTCAGCCAAAAGGGGAAAAGAAGGGGAAATGTGAATGCACATGGTTACTGCAAGAAAGGAACTTAGCTGTCCAGAATCGTGAAAATAAACGTAACAAATGGATTTTAGATTCAGGTGCCAGTTCGCATTTTTCATATAAAAAGGACTATTTTAATGAGATTAATGAAATAAATGATGAAGAAGGATCTGAAATTGAGATTGCAGATGGTAACATTGTTAAAGCAAAAGGTGCAGGTTCCATGAGCCTGAAATGCAGTATAAACAATGAATGCATTGAGAACACAATCTCTAGAGTTTTGTATGTTCCAGAGCTGAGTTGCAACTTAATCAGCGTGTCCACTTTGGACAAGAAAGGTTTCCAGGTCACATTTGGAAATGGAGAATGTAAAGTGACTAGAAATGGCAAAGTGTTTGCTCAAGCAAAGCTAATAAATGGTGTATATGAGCTTGATCTTTCAGAGAACCAGTCTGCAAAAGTGGCACATTCCAGCCAGAAGGATGAAGCAGATCTGGACTTATGGCACCGAAGGCTAGGACACAGAGACGCCAGCCTCATTCTGGATCTACAGAAAAGAAATCTTGTAAGAGGTTTGCAGGTAAAGCAGAGCAACAAAGCTCCAGCAAAGTGCATAAGCTGTATTACTGAGAAGGCTGTAAAACCTTCATTTCCACGTTGTGCAGAACAAAGAAGCAACAAAGTGCTTGACATAGTGCACACTGACATATGTGGACCCATGAATGTTCCCTCACTGGGAAAGAATAGATATATTTTAATATTTCTGGATGACTTTTCAAGATTTTGTGTTGTATATTTCCTCAAAGAGAAGAGTGAGACAGTGGACAAGCTCCAGGAATACATTGCCATGGTCAAGAACAAATTCCAGAGAGCTCCAGCTGTGTTAATGAGTGACAATGGAGGTGAGTACTGCTCAAATGAAGTGCAGACTCTCCTGGCCAGAGAAGGAATTGCACACGTAACCACAATTCCTTACACACCACAGCAGAATGCCATAGCTGAGAGAAAGTTTAGGTCCATTATGGACATGACAAGGTGCATGCTAAAGGATGCACGTTTGCCACACAAGCTGTGGGCGGAAGGAGTGTACACATCGGTCTATTTGCAGAATA